CGAGCTCTTAACTAGCACATGTGAGGCACTGGGTTCAATCCTCACCACCACATAAAAATAAATAAATAAAATAAATGTTTCCAAAAAATTGAAGCTACAGGCATTATGTGCAATATAAATCCAGAAAAGTTATATTTAATAGGAATTATGATATATATGTATATAAAACAATTATACTAAGATTTATTGAAATTTACTATGTGCCAAGCATTGTTCTAAACACTTTACATATAGTGTTTCATTTAATTCTCACAACTATCTGAAGTGAATACTATTATTATTCCCATTTTTCAGATGGAAACAGACATAGTGTTATGGTGTCGATGTGGTGTCCCCCAAAAGCTCATTTGTGAGACAATGCAAGAAGGTTTGAAAGAGAAATGATTGGGTTACATCCTTAACCTAATGAGTGAATTAACCCCTGATGAGATTAACTGAGTGGTAACTGGAGGAAGGTGGGGTGTGGCTGGAGTAGTTAATTTGGGGCAGGGCCATGGGGTATATATTTGTATCTGGCAAGTGGAGACCTCTCTCTCTGCTCTCTGATCATCATGTGAGCTGGTTCCCTCTGCCACCCGCTCCTGCCACGATGTCCTGCCTCACCTGAGCCCTGAGGAATGCAGCCAGCTGCCCTATGGACTAAAACCTCTGAAACTGTGAGCTCTCAAATACACTATTTCTCCCCTAAAATTGGTCAGATCCTTTAGTCACAGAAGTGAAAAAACTGACTAAAATACATAGATAAAATAATTTTCCCAAGGTCACAAAGCTAGTAAGTAGCAGATCCAGAAATCTAAACACATATAAAAATACTCATATAAATACAAATATGCATGTGTTTCCATATATACATAGATATAACAATGCACAGTGCTTCAGCTGTCTGTGGACTGCATTTGGCACTAGGCACATAGGGTGTGGAGGCCAGGAGATAAATAAAGGGTGTCCAAAACAAACTATCCTACTCTATCAGTTTACCCAGAGTTAACATGCATAAGTCATACTCCAAAATGTTAAAACATTTAGGTTAACATTTTCTTCGTGATTTTTTGTACTCCACATTTCCTTAGTGAGCATATATCAATTTTAGAACTTAAATTTCTAAACTTAGAAGCTTATTTCCACATCCTGTTATCAAAATGTTTTGGTTTATACAAGGAAATACTC